GACACAATTATTTATCTTTGTCTGTATCATGTATAAGCATCTTGTACCTTTATTTTCCTTCCGAGTTCCTGAAATCTGTAAGAAATAAAAGATACTTTAGCCAGTCTGTTTCATCACAACCATAATTTGAACTTCAGTTCAAAAACAAAATAAATTTACCAGTGATTTGTAAAGATGGGATTTTGGACTGATCCTCATCAAATGAAGAAGATCTTGCACAGCCCACAGCTTTGGGGGAAAAAAAAGATAAGTTAGAAAAGGTTAACTGATTTAAAATAATTTCAAAGATGTAGTAGGCACCATTTTACAGTTGTAGAATGTTTTCCATTCAAGAAAGATGTATTTATTGCCTTGTAAAACCATTCTCAGAGGCCTGCTATTCTACTACTACATTTACTTACCTCCACTACCTAAGACATACAGCAGCCAGCATGTAGTTCATCATCAGCTGAAGCTGTGATAAGACAGTTTTGTTTCCTCCCCATTCTGGACACATGCTCTTGCTACTTTCCTTGCTCCCTGATTTATCATATAAATCAGACAAGCTCACTAACCCAAACTACAACTAACCACTCACTGGGTCAAAAAATTTTCAGTTAGGAACAACTTCACCCCACTGCATACTCAGAGGAGAAACAAAGAGAGGGCAAGGACTGCCCTTTTCAGCCACAGCTTGTAGTTAGAACAGCTTAAAGTGACCACAAACTTTCAGGGAATTGAATGGCCAAACACAAGGCCAGCTTCAATCAGGATCAGATTCCCAAGTGCTCTGACACACAGTGTCACAAACAGTCATACCCAACTAGGACTGTGGGGAAGCAAGTGTGAGGTAAAGAGGCTTGCCTCTCCAGAACAGCATCCTTAGCTTATTGTCAATTTAAAATATTAATTAAAATTACCCTGAATAATGAAATATTTTATGGAGACAACCAGAAGCTGTACCTGTGGGGTTTTTTCACTATCACAAAAGGGTTTTTTTTTCAATTCTGTTGGAATACAACAACCCCCAAAAGGCAAAGTTCGTAGAAGCCTTAAAAGCAGCAATTTACTGAACTTACCTTCTTCTTCTCTAATCCACTTTCTGGAAAGAAAACAGAAAGCGAATACTCATAGCCACATCTCTGTAGATGATCTGCCACCAAACTGTTGGAAGCTGTGGTCAAAAGTGAACTTTCATCACTTGGAACAGCCTGTGGCTGAAGCTCTCCTCTCAAAATTGGGTGCATTAGGTCTTGGATTAGCTGTTTTCGGAGCTGTGTCTGATACAGAAACGACATTATATTCTCAGTTTACATGTTATTTGATTAGTTTTTATTTTTCAAAATTCAGGGGAAGTCTCACTTTACTTGTACATGTTATATTGCAACCAATGTAACAAAAACAGGCAGACTAACTTTAGCAAAACTTAGAATAGTGCTTGAGACACCATGCCTTTCTTCAAAATGCTCTAACAATGGCTACAGTGACCTTTGACTTCCCCTCAGTATGTATCAAATGTTGGACTAAGAATCAGCTTTGCTTTTCGTCAAGAACCCATGTAAACTCCAGTCTAGTACCCTTAGCTTCATTTTTACATCACTGCTTTCCTGTTCCACTTCCCTCTGGCTTAAATAAAGCCTGCTTGATATAGCCTCAATATCAGGTGTACTTGGAAAAAACTCTCTAGTTCTCTTCTGAGTCTCATGTCCACAAGCTGCTGCTGCCATCACAAACACAGATAGGAAAATAAACAGGAAATTCAATGTCTTTAATGTACATTATTTAGCAGGGAAGCAAAAGAGTACTAATCAAAAAAGCCTACAGGCACTAATAATAATTAAATAGCAATGTTTATTATTTATTTGCATTCTGTAAGTTACAACAAAGACAAAAAGTAACCTAAAATTAGAATATCTTCCTCCTGGAAAAGAAAGAAATAATAATTTTCTTTATATTATTATACAAATCGTTTATAGCATATTAAAAGATCATGATAGAAATAGTGGTTTAAGCTCTAAACTGCAGGTATGCAACAGTGACAAATTTGATGAAAGAATTACCAAAAATGGGATGAAATACTGACCAAACCTAAAGCTAGATCATCAGACTAGCCTGGTACTTTAGCACAGCTTTCAACAGAAATTAGGCTTACAATAGAGACGTGAAGACAACAGAAGAAAAAAATTTTCCTTAGTAATTTCTGAACTTGCCCAGTTTCAACCAACTTTGGTAGAGATGACATTGTCTCAGAACAACCGAGACCAGCAACCTCTTACACATGTTGTGACTAAGTGCAGGTGGAAACCACAGGGCTCCATCTCTGCCCCTACTATGGGAGAAGAAGAAAGACATTGTTTTCCATATGTTGGCCATTCAGAGTACCTGTAGCTCTGCCTCTTGCCAGCAGAAGCTATCAGATAAAAGCAGGAGAAAGCTGGGAGTACTCTCATTAGAACATGTAATCCATAAAAATCCATAAGAAATACATAATAAACCAAACTGTATTAATTCTTCAGCTCAGAAAAGCTACAGAATCTTAAATACGGTGTGTAATCTTCTAGATTAGACAGGAAAATGAATGTCTAGATAGACAAGGAAAATGAAGCAGGAAAACATACTTAAATAGCACGCCACCTGACAATTAGTTAAGTCAAACAAGAAAAGAAACAGTTCCAGCATTGCAGGCTTGATATGGAAATCACTGAGGGAGAAACAAGTTGTCCTGAACAGGGGATTCCTGGCCATAAGATTATCAATTATATTCTTAAATTATCAATCTTAATTATTATTTTTTTTCACGTTAATGAATTTGACATAACAGTATTTTTTTTCAATGGCTGGTGAGATAAAAATGTGTATTTAAGTATAGAAAGATCAAGGCATCATAAAAAATAGAATCAGATTATGTTTAAAGACTAGCAAAACTGAAACTGGATGAAATACAACATTTCAGCATTTAAAGCCTGATATAAATTTCTGCTAATAACACAAGGAATTTATTGTTTGGAAAAAGCAAGATGCGGATGTGTCAATCAATGACTAGCACCACCGGTGGGACATGCCTCAAAAAGAGATATATGCAGCCTTTCACACTTTCCCACCAAAACAGGGAAGACTTAATACCATTCTAAACTTTGACCGAAAAGCTCACAACAGTCATGATCTTCTTCCTTTAAAAAGGGGGAGAAAACTTCAAAGTGTGTAAGGGCTACCGGGATAACCACCAATGAGAATACTTCACCTACACTTGTTCAGCACTGTAGAACAAAATCACAGAATCCTAGCAGTTGGAAGGAACCTTGAAAGATCATCCAGTTCAGCCTCCCTGCCAGAGCAGGATCACCTAGAGCACATCACACAGGAATGCTGAAGAAAAGGAATAATTGCTGCCTACAAATAATCACGAGGAGTAAGAGCTACTTCCACTGAAGGATACTTTCTGCACAAGAAAAGAACACCATAGCAACCACAAAGAAATGCAGGCTACAAATCAGAACAAAGTTTCACTTCTGAACACAACCATATTCTAAGACATCCTCCTGAGTGAGCAAGCAGGGAGAAAACAGCTCAACTAGTTTTAAAACAGAACTGGAATAATTTAGGATAATTCACATAGTATGCTTACTTATAGTAGGTAATCAACAGACTTTGTGAGCTAAGGGATCTTTTCCAATCCTCTGTACCCATGTATTCCACTTCACTACCTATTTTTCCCAAGCATAGACATTTTTAAAGAACTGATGAAGGCCTTTAACCCTCCTGGAAAAGACTGAGACTACTCCACAATAAAATGCATTTTTGTCTAGGTAGAATCTTTTATCTGGCAAAAAGAAAAGCACTGAATACGAATCAGGCTGCGGCAAAAGCAATACATTGGGGAAGAGGGGAAAGCAGCTTCACTTGGCGTGACGCTGCCTCCGATGCTCAGTGGCACACCGAAGCACGGGTGGAAACAAAGCACACCTTTAGGGTGTCCAGCACACCTCGGCTTTTAAAAGTCTGATAGAGCCTTTTCCGGAGTTCATCCTGGGACAGCGTCTCCCTTTCCACCGAATCCATCCTGCCCTACAACAACAACAGACAAGACGTTACTGACTCCCAGCTCGGCCCCCAGCCGGCGAGACGCCCGGGCCTCCCCGTCGGGCAGGTCTCGCTGGGGCAGCCTCCC